TTTTTTTAAAAAAAATTTATACTATTACGATTTCTTAAATTTCTAAATTTAACTTTCTTAATTTCGGCCAGCACTATTCTAATTCTGGCCACAAATTCACTGCATATAAAGTCGTAAAAATATCGATTTGACCACAATTTGGCCTAAAAATATTGTTTTACATATAATCAACATAAATTGAGATTTTTCACTGTCCCTGCCGTGTATTTTGATCAGTGTTTCGGTCTAAACCTCCCCCAAAGTCCGAAACGTTTTGGCCCTGGAGTTTCGGTATCGCCCAAAATCCGAAATGGCCGAAACTTCAGAAATGGCCGAAACCTCCGAAATAGCCGAAACCCTCCAAAACTGGGCGAAACCCTCTGAAACTGAACGAAGCCGAGCTTCCAAAATTCATATTTACGACTTCTTTCGGATCTTTTCGGAAATTTGCTCTATTTTTGTCCTCAACCTTGCTTAAGCATTCAGTACTTATATAACAAAATATATATAGATTGTATCACTACTTCTAAGCAGTGATAATTTTTCAATCAAAATTTACTGTGCGGATGCTGCACAATTTATAGACTTTTTCTGTGCAGCAAATAAAAAAAAAAACCACGAGAAATTATTTGCACTGCTTACAAAATGCCAATTTTTCTGTACATCTATTCAAAAAAAAAAAAAAAAAAGTGTGCGCAAATTTTGTTTCTGTGTACTGCGCAGTCCACACAGTGAAAAATTGGTTACGGGTTAACTTCCCGAAATCAATTTTACAGAAATACCATTTCACCGAAGTCATAATACTGATATCTCATTTTACTAACAAGACATAATTCATTTTACTGAAATATCATTTAATTGATAATAAACTTTGATTTCATATCATAGAATCGCATACTGCGCAGCTATTTTTATTTCAACAGTTGAATTAATTTCAACAGTCGAATTAATTTTAGCTGCTTAAAATAAATTCGGTTTCAACAGTTGAATTTAATTTCTACTGTTGAAAATATTCTAAAATTACAAAATTTAACCATCTACAGTATACGGCATGTACGCACGTCTCCATTTTTCATTACGTATCAAAATTTATAGTTTTTTTGTACATATCGATATATTTTTATCAAAATTAATTGGTCAATTAACATATTAGTCCTAGCGGACTCCTAATTAGGTAAAAAGAGAATCCCATAATTACTCTCCTTTCCTTTTCAGTCATTAATTTTTTTTTTTTTTTATCCTCGTGAACAAAAAAAAGAGAACAATAAAGTTCGGGATCGGTTTGTTTTATAAGATATCGGTTCACGCGTTCCCGTTCTCTAGACTATTGTTGGTTTTATTTCGATATTTTAAAGGATTCTTTTATTAATTTATAGAATTTTTTTATTAAAAATAAGGCCATACAATACAATTTTAGTTTGAAAATTCAAGCCCATCGCTATATACTCGAATAGAAAATCAGTAAGCTCTAGGTCCAAGTTATCAGTCTATATAAGCTAGTTGGTTGCAAAAGCTGCTTAGTATTATACTTAAACTTTAATACAGTTGAATCACCTAAAACAGATTCTGTCAAATCTAATAAAATATTAATCTACCAAGTCTATATGAATCTAATAATTTATAATGATTCCAAATCCGATAACTTTTCAATACTGATACCGAATCTGGGAGGTTCCAATTATATTGCCTTTAAAAAAATATAATGTTTATATAATATAAATCAAATTTTTTTTGATTTGCAATTTTATTAGTACTGTAAATCAATTTCAATTTGGTTCGAGTTTCGAACAGGGACGAACATAGTTCAGATACTTAGTTCATCTCCCCACTTTAAATTTGTATAAATTCCGAAAGAGCAATTATATAAAATCAATCTTTTATAAAATTAAGGAAAAAGACATCATTAAATGGGGCGTTTAAAGGAATCTAGTCGAAATCCGAGCAGCTTCCACTTAATATGCTATGCTTAGGTTTGAGATAAATTTCATTTACATAGTAAATTTCACATGGTTTCCGAGTTACCATTTCATGTTACACTAGATCGAAATTTGATTGGATATATTCACGTGATCAATTGAATTACACAAAAAAGTTTTTTTAAAAATATCGTACTGAACGTTAATCATTACAGTATATACCAGTTTACAAACCTTTAAATGCACCAATGCCTCGTCATCAGACTCAACAATTCAAAAATAAACTTGCAAATGCTACTAATACTTTTCCATATCCAAAAACCAAACCCAATAAAAAATCAAACTCATTAATGAACAAACAAAAAAAGCCAACAGTAAAAAACAAAAATTTATACAAATATAAGAATGAAACGTTACTTAAAGAACTTGACGGATTAGTTGAAGATATTTTATTACCTTTTCAAGATAGTGAAGCCTCAAAAAAAGATATATCTAATAAAAATTTAAAAATTACATATTCTGAAAGTGATAACTCTGAATTCGATTTATTGACACATAGATTCGCGAATGAGATTGAGAATTCGGAAAATCAAGAACAAGAATTGAATAAGCAGCAATTCCTTAATAACCCAAAAGAAGTACTGGATAGAGATTTTGATAGTGCTATAAATCAATTATTGAAATTTAGCGTGAAGGAATGAATATTGAAATTTAGCGTGAAGGAATGAAAGGATAATAGTTCAGTTAAGCTAGATTTGTATATTGTAGTTGTAATGGTAATCGAAGAATTTTTGAAACTTGGTTTATTATCTGTGTGATAATGGAAAATATTCTAGATGCGATTTTTTTATATAATCAAATAATAACGACTCTTGTCAACGATGCAATATAAATATTAGTGTTATATTATCTAATATAACATATTTTATTAACTAAAATATTTACAAAAAAATCAAATTTTTATAAAAATATTATTTATGTCTAAGAAACTTATTTTTATTTGTTTCATAATCGCTTTAAAAAAGTACCTTTTTTAATTTCCAAACAAAAACAAATAGGCAAAAAAATTAATTACTATCCATGAAGCAAGAATTGTTTTTCTATACCCTTCATATTCAGGAAAATTTCTCCACCAGATTCTTACAAGTCCGGAAGAGCTAGAAACACCCGGCGTCACAGTTTCCCTTGCTGGTAAATTATGATTACTTGTTGGTGATGCAAGCATACTCGAAGCATGATGGTATTTGGTAATAACACGTATTTGAGTTAACTGACTTGATTCAATGTCGTGAACTACATCAGTTTGCTTAACTTTTGGTGTTGTTATTGTAGCTGGTTCGTATGATGTAGATGTTGGTAATGACATTAAGTTAATCTCAGTGATATGGGAATTTGTTGGTGTTATAGTTTGCAGAGATGAATTCGGCACAGTCGGTTGAGTTTGAGTATCATTAAATGCGAAGATGCATGAGAAGAAATAGAATAAAGTAAATAATTTGAGTTTGAAAAAAGATTTTAAGAAACGCATTTTTTTTGAAATATCGTGTAAAGAATACGTATATGTACTGTGTGCATTCTGCAAAGTATTAATCGCTTCATTTTTATACTTTTTCATCAGTGACAGAAAATTTTTAATATTTTTATTATATGTATATTTTTTAAATGAATAAATCATTTATAATTAATTCGTCTAGATCCATTAATTTCATCAAAAAGATTCTTTTGTTTTTTTTTTTGAAAATTATTTTATTAAAATCTTTTTCATATCATGCTTATTCGTAATTGATACAGTAATTAAAGTAATCAAATATGATTTGATTTGAAATCGGACGTGTGACATCAATCTTTTGAAAAGACGAAAATCTCTGTTAATTAAACATTTCATATAATAAGTTGCTTTATTTTTTATTCATTTTTACACTATAAACCTTTTGAGCTATCTTATTATGAAGGTAAACAAACTTGAAATTTGTTTGGAGAATATTAATTTCAGAAATACAATTCTGTCTATTCATCTCTAAACAAAACACAAACACGTTCTGTTTTGTGTAATTTAAACAATATTAAAAATCATAAAAAAATTCAACTTGAAAAAAAATAATAATTAAACCAATAAATTTATATCAATAATTTAATAAATAAGTAATTTGTCGAATTATAAAGAAGTTAATAGAATATTCACCAACAGGCCTCCAATAAAATAGATAGGTTTACTGGCAAAGAATCAAAGTCCACAAATTATAAAATGAATTTTACTTATTTGGAACATAGTATTATTTAGTTTTAAAAAAATGTGTCGTTATTTTTTAAAATGAAATCTTTAACATAGAATGTTTTGTTGAGATAAAATTAAGACCGCAATCCAAAACAAATCTTTACTGCAAGTTCAGTAAATTTATTAATGAGCTCGGTTTAAGAGCGTAGTAAAGTAAAATAAACTTTTTTAAATTCATCCACTAATAAATTCCAAGGATTCGGTTAGAGAGTGTTGACTGTATCTGTTATGACACATTTTGTTTAAAAATTCGTCCTGTTTTTTTATACTATATGATATATAACATGTCATTTATTCTTTTTCAATAACAACTAGCTATAAATCTATAAATTGCAAAGCAACATAGCGATAGATCTTATGCTTATCGTTATATGCTAAATTAACTATTTCGTGATGTCGTCATTGTTCTTCGTTATTATATCATTCATTACACATTTGAATCATATTATCGAAGGTAGAGTTTGAAAAGGCCGGTCATCGTGTATAATCAGACGACTTTGATAATCCAGGTCATTGGATATTAACGAGAACTGTTCCGCTTATACCAGGTATTATTCAAGCGATAACTATAATAATAAGCGAAAAATTTATATCAACCTGCAGATTGATCTCTACGTAACTCGCGCATCACGCGTAATGCGCATATTCTATGGGATATTTGAGAAACACGCAAATTATCCATCACCTGAAATTACCAACTTTAAACAGTTTAATGTGTTTCACGAAAATTCATTGTAGCAGCAAAAAATTGTTACTATTAAATTCGTTACTATTATAAAGTTGACATACCAGATACTATTATTGATAGCTACTATAAAATTTATGTTATATTAGAACGCGATTAATGATCATAATAAAAGTATTTTGCTTGAATTCCTTGATACTTTGCAATAAAATATTGCATCAAATCGAACAATTATGATAACATCAAAGTCTGGTACAAAATAAGAAAAAGCATTGGTTGACCAAGAAAATACAAATACTGTAGCTCCTTTTATTTTATGAATAATACATTCATCTATTTTCATTACTAAGCTAAAAGTAAAAATTGGATGTAAATATTCGAAATTAGATTATTATAATCCGACAAAAAAATAAATGCGAATCAAAAAAATACAGCCATAACGATAATTACGAGAACAATATAACAATGTTCAAACTTATATACTGTATCAACTATTAGATCTATTAGATCAGTAAGGTACTTGTATTTACAACTATTTTCGTTATTCCTGAGAAATAACCAAATCAGCTCAGAATTGATAAATTACCCTTAAAAACTTATCGATTCGGTTATAAGCAATTTTTCAGTTGTCCCATGAATAATGAAAACAGTACAGTTTTTTCATAAGCTCTGGGAAACTAACAATTTGCTCCTGAAATTGCGCTATTGTCTCCAGACCGAAATTCTAAAAATGCAAGTTTGCAGTATGAAGAGTCTGCGGTTCTTAGAATATGTTCGAAGAGATCTTGGGAAATAGCAAATTTTTAGTTGTTCCAATTTATGGAACGTTATAATTGATGGTGAGATATCGACATACAGTAATATTACTGTATTATCTGTTGTATAATGTATATATCAGATATATGATCTGAAAACTTGATTATCATATTATCAGGATACGTAATAGATGCTCGTGACACGCGATTTAACTTATTATATATAGCCATAGTAATAGACATTTGTTTGTAAGCATTATTGTCTCACGATCATCAAATTCTCTCCAAAAGTAACAAAATGAAAGCCATCGTAATAAGCAAATTACTAAAAACCATCGATGAACTTGAAGTTGATCAGAATGCGCCTGAGCCTGAGTTGAAAGAAAATCATGTTTTAATCGAGATTAAAGCATCCGCTCTTAATTATTTTGATATCTTACAGGTAATAAACGTTCTTTTTTTTTTTAAAAAAAAAAATTGATTTAATGAATAACAAAGAGAAAACTTCAGAATTTTCTCTTTAAAAATGTTAATTTTTTCTTCCATATAACACTATTTTTTTGGCCTTTGTTTCGTCACACGGCTTGGAAGCCCATAAAGGACTAAATCCTATCAAGTGAAAAAATCTGAAAATTATTAGAATGATGAGTTCTGTCCAGAAAAGTTTTACTGATTAGTCATTCCGCTTTGTAATTGACTATATAGAGCCAAGGAAGGTATCAAGTTAAGCAACCCCTCCCTTTCATACTGGGTACTGAAGTACGTTCTTTTATTTAAATAATTTGACCCACTTTTTTTAATTATATATTTGAATTTTAGATAATGAAAAAAATGTGCTTCGATTTCTCTCCTTTATTATACATTCTAATTGTGCTTTCATATTTTCAAATTTTAGTTTGCAGGTGTAATTATTGCTGTTCATCCTACGGTTAATAATAAATATAAACCTGGTGATAAAGTTTTTGGATATGGTGAAGGTTCTTTTGCTGAACGCATGGCTGTAAATATTCAAAACATTCTTCCGATACCTGATGGTATGAGCTTCGAAGAAGCTTCAGGATTATCTATCACTTGTCCTACAAGTTACACTGCATTAGTAATTAGAGCAAAGTTACAAAAAGGTAAATGTGATTTATTATTTTTTTTTTCGTCATAATCTAATTAAAGAATAGAATTATTCTAATTTTACGTTTTTAATTTAATAGATGAATGGTGTCTTGTTCATGCTGCAGCGGGAGGTGTTGGTATAGCTGCCGTTCAAATTGCAAAGGTGAATTATTCTAGGTTTGTTTATTTTTGATATTAATTAATTTTCACAAATCATTTTCTAAAAAAAATTTTTTTTTTACATAATCATACATATAATAAGGCGCTCGGTGCCAAAGTAATTGCTACTTGTGGTTCAAATGATAAACTAGCTATTGCTAAAAAATTTGGTGCTGATTATGGTGTTAATTATAATGATAAAGATTGGCAAAAACAAGTATTACAAATTACCGGTAAACGTGGAGTAGACGTTGTTTATGATCCTGTTGGATTAGTTCAAGCATCTCTTAAATTCATAGGTATTTAAATATTCATTCATTTAAGTTTAAATAGCCTATTATTATTTAAATTTTTTTTTCTCTTATTTTGCGTTCACATTTTCATTTTTATTCATTAAATAGCATGGAGTGGTCGCATACTCGTAGTTGGATTCGCCGGCATTGGTAATAATCTTGAAAAGGTCCCCACTAACTTGGTTTTACTTAAAAACACCTCAATTATTGGTGTATATTATGGTACATATCAAAAATATGATCCTGAACGTGTTATAGAAGTTTGGAATGGTTTATTTAAATTATTTTCTGAAAAAAAATTAAAATCTGTCATTTATAAAAATGCTTATAATGGATTACATAACGTTAAATATGGATTAAAAGCTATTGCGAATAGAGAAACTTATGGTAAAGTTGTTGTTATACCTAATGGAGGAAGAGATAGCAAAATTTGACTTGTAGAAAATTAATGTGTGATGAAAATGTATGAAATTAAATAAACACTTGATTAATGTTATTATCAATTTCTTTATTATTATTATTATTATTATTTTATTTGATTAAAAAATATTAATAAATATAATGCTACTGTAATAACATGACAATTACGTGACTAAACTTTAAAATCTTTCAACTTCTAATTATATCGAAAATTGACTGGTAACTTATTCTTTATAAAGGGAAAATGATACCGTAAAATCTTGGGTATGGGAATTTTGACCAGAATTAAGCTTAATTCGGGCCAAAATTCGAAATAACGCCACGGTACATATTTTTAATCGATATAAGTTGTCTTTATAAGTTAATTCGTGATCCGCATAAGAACCAGTGAAATTATTTAGTAAATTGTGGAGAAATTTACTATTAAATTTTGTCTTTTTTGAAATCCGGAGTTTTCCAAAGAAAAACTTTTTTCTTTACTAAGTAAACATCTTTTAAAGCTTTAAGTAAAGTTGTAGAGGAGTTTCTTTCGATCAAAATGGCGGTTAAAACGTTAAAATTGGCCCAGTGAATCGCGAGATATAAGTACTTTAGTCTTCGCGACTATATGTTTTCTTCTTTATAAATAAAGAAGAAAGCATATAGTCGCGAAGACTAAAGTACTTATATCTCGCGATCCACTGGGTCAATTTTAACGTTTTAACCGCCATTTTGATCGAAAGAAACTCCTCTACAACTTTACTTAAAGCTTAAAAGACGTTTACTTAGTAAAGAAAAAAGTTTTTCTTTAGGAAACTCCAGATTCCAAAAAAGGCAAAATTTATATAGTAAACA